GGTAGGAGAGGAAATGCATTGAGAAATTGTTCGATAAAATGAAATAGGGTAATGTTAAACTGGTGATTCAATGGTTTTTTGAGTTACAAGTGATAGAGACTTTAGAAATGCTGGAAATATTCTTGGAATATTTGTAGAAGTTTTAACAAGTATTACAGAAATTTTAACAATATTTTTTATTATTACAGAGACTTTCATCACATTGTTTTAGAAGGTTTGAAATAATCATCTAGTTTCGATTCTTCATGTGTAGAATAATCGATAGATGTGGTTTTTAATTAATTTAGATTGTGAATTGTCAATAAAAAAAAATGGCAAAAACTGGCAGATAGCTTGAAAACAGGTCTTCTTATATGTATATTTTATGTATTAAACTTTCAAGTCGAAATTTATTGAGTGAGAGATTAATTAGTGCAAAATCATTTTCTACCTTAAATTTATATTATTATATTAAGAACACATCTTTTCAATCGCTAAAATTTATGAAATCCCCTTAATCATATTTCATTGTCAATTCTTTAAATTTTTGGTAGCTATATCCTCGATGACATTCGTTCGACGCACCTCGGATCGAATTTTAACTGTTCGAAAGTTTTAATGGGTGATCGTGTAAACACGATCTCGAAATCAAATACTCGAACTCGGTTGTAATTACTGGAGTGTACTTTGCGGAATAAACTTGGTGGCGCCGTTGGTGAGCATCGATGAACTCCAACCGCGGGAATTTTACACGGGCAACAAGCTTCCAGCTAATTTCGTCCCCAAGAAAATTCGCTCGCTCGTCTGACGATCGATTTCGAAAGCGGAGACGCCAATAAAAATGCAGAGCAGAGATGTAAAATATTCGAGTCAATGTTTTGAACATGCAAAATTGAATTCTGTTTATAAAAATTTAAATATTCAAATTGATAATATTTGTGTAGACAAAGATTTGTTTCATCTTTTAAATATTATAATCAATATTTCATGGATCTAAATTTCTCACAAATCAACGACTTGGCAATAAAATTACTGGAATGATCAGATAGCAAATTTTTACAGAGATTTCCATATAAGCTTAAAGATAATTTTTCATTGAACGTTCACGTTTTTTTTTTTTT